ACTGTTGCTTAATGTTGACGCCAGGAATTTCATAGGGTTTTCTTAGGCCAGGAATACTCGAAGGTGTTTTTGACATTTCCTTCCTCTGAAATATAGCCTATAGCACTTGGATTCATTGGTAGACTCCTGTCCAAGTACTAACTAGGGCTGACCTTGCTTAGCTCCCATGATCAGATGGGATGGTGTCTTCAGGGTATATAGACCTTTGCTGACTTTGGTACCATCCTAAATTTCAACCTCCTTCCCCCTCTATGCTGAATGGCTTCATATAAACCTGGGCTTTTATTAAAATTTTTAAATAAAAGTATTTTAAGAATCTACTATATAGCTTTAATCGTACTGTTTTTAAGCCACATTTTAATTATTTTTAATTGTATGTATCAAATTGTGTTAATATAAAAAAGTTTGAATTCTATTTTATTGTTGATCCCCCCCCCCCCCATGCCTTTGGCTATGTTGTACTCATTTTAATTTGCAAACCACCTTGAGCCTCATTTCTAGAGAAGAGACAGGATATGAACAAAGCTAATAATAACAACATTAATGATGATAATGTAAATAATAGGCACATATCCTGTCTCTTTTGCTTTCTGAAAACAAAAACAAAAAAACCCAACACCCCACATTAAAAATATTGTATAAAATTACCTTCAAGCTATGTGTATTAGATGTATATGAAACATTAAATGAATTGTGTGTTTAGACTTGGGTCTCATCCCCAAGATATTTCATTATGTACTTACATGCAAATACAGTTATTCTGGAATAGTAATTTAAAAAATTCCAGCCCTCCAAAGCACTCAGGGGATGTTATCACACAGGGGAAATCTGTTGGTTAATCCACACAAATCCCAAACAAAAACTGAATTTATGCCTCATGATTTCACACAACGTCGCACAGAAACTGGTCAGAAACTGGTATTATCCGAGATCTTTTTAATTTCAGGAGTTTAGAGGAAATGCATTTGCGAAATTACAGTAATTTCGCATTTACTGTAATGTGAAAAGCAAATACGCATGGACAATTCTCTTTTAAAACCTGGAGGAGGTCCAAGAGGAGGAGGAGGAGGGGCCTCGAGGGAGGGAGAGTCCCGGGCTCTTGCCATGCAGGGAAGGCAAGGCAAG